TAAGCTCACAATGTTTTTCTCCAGGATAAATTCATTTTTCTTGGTAGAAGGGCAATGACAGGATCAGGAAGAGAAGGGGGAAAAATGAATAATCAAGGCAAGATTTTAGATAGCTTGTAGCTGTCTAAAATCTTGTTGATACGTGATAATGGTACTCTGCTATTCAGTTACACCTTTAGGAATAAAATTGTGATTTTAAAGCGTGTTCTAGGTTTTGATATTTTTATGATATCACACCGTTTTTCAAGAACTCCTTTTTGGGTTGTGATAGAGATATTTGTCAATGTCACAGTTTGTTAATATATTAACAACTTTTAGATCCATGCAGAATGTAAGCGGTTTGGAAAAGCTTATAATCTTCGATCAGTGGCTGTATATGGAGGAGGGAGTATGTGGGAGCAGGCCAAGGCTCTTCAGGAAGGGGCAGAGATTGTTGTGTGTACCCCAGTAAGTATGTCTTATGTTAAGTGACTTCTCAGCCTCTCTGGATATGGAAAACATAGTTTTGCAGAGAATTCCCTCTAAAATGTGGTAAAGCAGGGTTGAGAATACCCTGATAAATGGCAGCCAGTGGTTTTGATTTAATTTTTAATTTTTTGTTTTGTTCTGTGACAGAGTCTCACTCTGTCACACTGACTAGAGTGCAGTGGCATCATCATAGCTCACTGCAACCTCAAACTCCTGGGCTCAAGCTATCCTCCTGCCTCAGCCTCCTTAGTAGCTGTGACTACAGGCATGTGCCACAATGCCCGAATAATTTTTCTATTTTTGGTAGAAACGGAGTCTTGTTCTTGCTTAGGCTGACCTCGAACTCCTGATCTCCAAGTGATCCTTGCACCTCAGCCTCGCAGAATGCTGGGATTATAGGCGTAGGCCACCGCTTCCGGCCTTTGATTTAATTTTGATTGGTTGACTATAACATAGCAGTCCAGTAAGAGTCTGTGTGACATATACACTAGGAGCTACAAATTCCCCTTTATTTCAAATAGTTTTTCTTATGCTTGCCTAGAAAATGGATCTGTGGTTACTAAGAACATCCAGAATCAGACATGCCTCACAAAAATGCTTCTGGCCATCTTCCCACAGAATTTAAATCACAATTAATGTAAAGGAAGAAGCTAATTAAGTTTTCAAAACTTCTGCTCTATTGGGCTATGTAGTGCATAAATAAAGTACTAGGCTGTCAGACCAGCATCTGTTACCATCCAAGACTGAATTAGCACGTTTGCCAGGAGCACAACTTTAGGAAGTCCTTGTAAATGCTTTTTAATTATGCTTACTATTCACTTTGTGGATCTCATAGGGTCGACTGATTGATCATGTGAAAAAGAAAGCTACTAATCTTCAAAGAGTCTCTTACCTTGTGTTTGATGAAGCAGATCGAATGTTTGACATGGGATTTGGTATGCCTTGAATACCTGTTTCTTCTATCCCCATCCTCATGATATTAATTTTTTCTATATCTTTAGAGACTCAGCAAATTTTTTTCAGCATAAGAGAAGCTAAAAATACTGCTGGGTAGGGTTAGACTGTAGAAATATAGTTAAGATATGAACTATTTTTAGATGTTTTCTCAGGAAAAGTATGTTAGGCTTGGTTGAGTTGAGGAAAGTTGAAAATGCCTTTGTGTATGGGGGAATATTTTCTCCATTCTTTATTTTTATTCATGTGCCTTTGATTGTGGAGTTCATGATCTGTGTTCCTGGGTAGGTGAACATCACATCATTTAATACCCTTTGTATTCCTGTCCGCATAATTATCTTTACTGATTGGAACACTGCCAGACACAGCCCACCTGGGTAGAAGGAAAATTTTTCGGAGTTTTATAGTGAATGATGTATCTAGGATTTGTTTTTTCTTCTTCTTAGAGACAGAATCTCACTCTGTCACCCTGGCTAGAGTGCAGTGGCATCATCATAGCTCACTGCAACCTTAAACTCCTGGGCTTGAGTGATCCTCCTGTCTTAGCCTCCTGAGTAGCTGAGACTATAGGCATATACCACCACACCTGGCTATTTTTTCTATTTTTAGTAGAGATGGGGTCTCACTCTTGCTCAGGCTGGTCTGGAACTCCTGAGCTCAAGTGATCCTCCTACCTCGGCCTCCCAGAGTGCTAGGATTGTAGGCACGAACCACTGCGCCCAGCCTTATATCTAGGAATTTCAAAATTTCCTTAATTCATATAACTTTTCATGGAGACATTTACTAAAATGACTTTTCCAGGCCTTCCAATCTGTATTACAGGGTTATAATATTAATTTTGCTGTTCTGCTTCTTCCAGAGTACCAGGTTCGATCCATAGCAAGTCATGTCCGTCCTGACAGACAGAGTATGTATGAAGTGGCTTTATTAAACCACATTTGTACTCAGAATGAATACCTGTTTATATTATAAGCAATCACAATTATGGAAGTAAAAATGATCATGTGTGTACTGGTGAGAACCATAAAGGGGAAGATAATGACAGTTTATCTGAGCTGGACAGGACTTTAGAGATCATCAGATATAACTTACTCATCTTTGTAGATGATAAAACCAAGGCTCAGAAATTAAATGGGTTGCCCCAATTTATACAGGTTTATCGGTGAGTAGAAGGAAAGCACAGTGCAGAACTGCTAATTTGAAATCAAGAACCTTTTTCTGAATCAGGCTGACAACTTGTCTTAACTGAAAATGTAATAAAAATAGAATAAGAGCAAAATCTTTTTTCTTTAGTGAATCAATTTTTAAACTAAATTTAAGGTTTATGTAAAAAAAATCTGAATAATTCTGAATGTCAAGGAAGCTTAGCAGATGTTCAATAAAAAGTCACACTATTTCTTTAACAGAATTTATTTTACCTTTTAGCTCTCTTATTCAGTGCAACTTTTCGGAAAAAGATTGAAAAGTTGGCCAGAGACATCCTGATCGACCCTATTCGAGTGGTGCAGGGAGATATTGGAGAGGTAATCCTAAGCAAGTCTGGATGGGACGCCAGTGGGTTATTTCTTGTATTATGGAGACATAGAATTAATTTTTCACTATTGAGATAAAAATTTAAAATATTAAGTTTATGGATAAAGGAACATGTTTCAGATTTGCTTTAAAATATACAAGTAGGGGGATAAATGAAGCAACATTGGCAAAATGTAGACAATTACTGAAGCTGGCTGAAGAGTACATGGTAGTTATTATGTTCCTTTTTTTTTTTTTGAGTATTTAAGAATTTTCATAATAAAAAGTATTTTTTAAGCTTTTAAAGAAACAGAAAGGTCTGCCAAGAAACCTACCAGTGAGTAAGGATGAAACCAATGTTTTAAATGATCGTGAGAGGTTGCCTGCTTAGGAGGAAGGGGGTGACCTGAAAGGCCTGGTGAAAATAAGGTTTTATTTCCTACTTGTGCATATGCCCTATGTGGGAAATTTCTCCGAATTGGAACATGAAAGTCATTTAAGTATGCTTAGAAAATTCCTTCAGTTGCTTGCCATGGTTATTGTTAAAAAAAAGTTCCTGTGTAGTTAGCATCTTGACATTTTGCAGTTTTCGTTTTTGAGTGCCTTCTATGTGCATGTATGAATTGTATTTGGAATACTGAGTGGGAGGAACAATAGAAGAGTTTACTGTATTAGGAATAATCTGAAAAGGCATTTAAAAAGGTATTGCAAAGTGTTGGGTTATACAAATGTGGTACATACAAATTACGTATGTACACCAGGGAGAGGTGCAGAGCAAGGCGATTAGAGAAGAGAGGTAAGTTTTGAGCTGCACTTGACTTACTGAAGGAAGGACCAAGGCGAGAAGGAATTATTTAAGGTTCTTCTAGATACAGATAGCAAATTTAATGCCTAGTCCTGTTCAGGTGGCCTGAGGCATCAGCGTCACAATCATCTGTTTCATTTCTTATCAGGCGAACGAAGATGTGACACAGATTGTGGAGATTCTCCATTCTGGGCCTAGTAAATGGAACTGGCTTACCCGGCGTCTGGTGGAATTTACCTCTTCAGGGAGTGTCCTCCTGTTTGTTACTAAAAAAGCCAATGCTGAAGAGCTAGCCAATAACCTTAAGCAGGAAGGTCATAATCTTGGGCTACTCCATGGGGACATGGATCAGAGTGAGAGAAACAAAGTCATTTCAGACTTTAAGAAAAAGGACATCCCAGTCCTGGTGGCCACAGATGTTGCAGGTAGAGTATGAATTTCACAGTAACTTTCAGTCCCTGTGCTGTTAGAGTGCTCTGTCTTAACTATACAAAACCTGTAATAGCTGAGCAGGTGAATTGAAGGACTGCTGGTCTGGTTGGCCACACACTGGGGAACAGCAGTTCAGCACAGGGATCACAGTCTGGAGCTCTGGATACTGCTTTTCACTTAATGTTTCTCTGTGATCAAAGAGTTTCTGCAGCTAGAAGACAATTGTGTCTGAATGTGGTAGAAATCTTACACAGATCTACTACATGCATCTCAGGCATCTTTCAGTGAAGAGCAGAAAATTTTTTGGAGTATGATTTTTGGCTTTGTCCTGCCAAGTTTTAATAACTACCCTTAAAAATTGGTATTTTCTTCCAGAAAGATGAAAACTTCTCAGCTTTGAGACACATTTTTAAAGTATATTCCCAGTAAAGAGAGAGGTCATGTCAGGTTATTGATGACAAAAGATACAAGTCCCTTACACTAGATGGCCCCGTATCATAGAATCTACAGTGGTGACATTTATTCTAAAGGGGTAACTTACGTGCCTGTATCTCAGCTTACCAAACCCATGCACTTTGCCTAGGTAAGGGAAATGTGGGTTCTTAGAGCACTAACATTTACTTTGATCCTTTGACTCCAGATGAAGAATAAAAGAATTTGATTACTTTTTATTTCAGCCCGTGGTCTGGACATTCCTTCAATTAAGACTGTCATTAATTATGATGTGGCACGAGACATTGATACCCATACTCATAGGATCGGCCGCACAGGCAGAGCGGGTGAGAAGGGTGTGGCTTATACCTTATTGACTCCCAAGGACAGCAATTTTGCTGGTGACCTTGTCCGAAACTTGGAAGGAGCCAATCAGCATGTTTCCAAGGAACTCCTAGATCTGGCAATGCAGGTGAGGGACTAGGCATACTTCAGATTATAAAACTAAGAAATTTCGGCAAGCCTGGGGCAGATAACTTTCTGTGTTACAAGAAAAGCGGGGAGGGTATGTGGAGTTTACGAGGTACAGATGGGATTCGTGAGATATTAAAATTCATCCGGGCTGTCTTCTCATCCTCTCCATGCAACAGCATCTGTGTCGAAAAGTTATTCTTTGCGCTAAAATCTGTCCCTGTATTTTCTACCTGCTTAACCCATAGCACGCTATGAGTCAGTTCAATCTCAAAGATGGCTACTATTCTTCCTACTGCTCTTCCCCTCAAAAAGTCTTCTCTTTTAGGGGATTAAAGATGTGTGATCCTTTAAAAAATATATAGTGCTTCTTAACTATTCCTTGCAGACTAAGATCTTGGACCTCTGACCATACTGATTTCCCTCTTCCAGGTGTGCTCCAGTCCAAAACTGAGTGAGGCATTCTGCCAAATCAAATCTTGAGTCGTCTTAATATGTGCAGTTGCCAAATTACAAATGGATTTGGAACACTTTCTAATAGTAGACACTGTTAAGTGTTTGTCAAATGTATAGCCCAGCCCACACAACTCTTAACCCCTAACACAGTGGTAGTGTGGTGCTGGCCATGTTTCTGGTCCCAGGAGTAAAGGACCTGCACTGCAGGAGAAAGGAGGAGAATGATGTTTCCTCCCCCTCTCCTTGGGATAGAGAGTCAGCCCTAAACTAAAATTTTAAACAGCATGCATTTTGTGTTTTGGCGTTTTCTTACATCTCTTTTTGTGCCTCAGGTGTTCTGTGCTTAGCGCTTTTCCCTAAGCTCGTCCTATCTCTGAAGTACTTGACTTGTCATTGTCATATAAAGCTTTAAACTCCTCAGAGATGTTTGCATTCTTAAGAGAATGTGAATAAATGTGGTGGGTAGTATTCAGGCAGTGGTCAAGTTCAATGAAACCTTTAAGTCTCTGAGGGTAACTAAAATTTCAGTTGAGTGGCTACTTTTGGGAGTCTGTCCCTAGAGTCTATTCTAATAAGCCTCACTTCACGTAGCTTTTCTCTTTTGCTACTGAACCCACTAGCTCTTTAAAATTAAGTTCCAGATTTTTTTTATGTCTAATAGTATGTATAGGTTGTTTGAAGAATAAAAAAAAAATTCATTTTCCTCAACAAAGTTAGAAGTGGCCAAAGTGACCACTTTGCAATTGAAGTTTATCTAATCACTTCCTTCCTAGGAGGTCCTGAAGGAAGACTTGGTGACTTAAACTACCAAAAAGAAGCTAATCTGTGGTTCCTGTGAGCAGTTCCTCCCTTGCCATAAATGCACTGGCTAAAGATGAAGCAAAAAGTTATTCCCATTTAATTTCCTCTTTAACTTTGTCCTCTTCCTCTGGCTTTCTCTCCCTCCCTTGACTCAACCTTGAATTGTGTTCACTGCAGAATGCCTGGTTTCGGAAATCCCGCTTCAAAGGAGGGAAAGGCAAAAAGCTGAACATTGGTGGAGGAGGCCTAGGCTATAGGGAGCGGCCTGGCCTAGGCTCTGAGAACACGGTGAGTTCAGACTGCAATAGTGCCTTTCTGGTTGGTCCTGTGCCCTGGATGTCATCAGGAATATTCTGATCTACCTGAGAAAGCCTCAGTGAGTTCAAAACCCTGTCTAGAAGGGAGCTTATGATTAATATGCTGGCCTGAGTCAATGCATTGCTGGTTCTTTTTTTTTTTCCTTTTTTTTTTTTTTTTTTTTTGACACAGAGTCTCACTCTATTGCCAGGGCTAGAGTGCTGTGGCATCAGCCTAGCTCACAGCAACCTCAAACTCCTGGGCTCAAGTGATTCTCCTGCCTCAGCCTCCCAAGAAGCTGGGCCTCCCGGCATGCACCACCATGCCTGGCTAGTTTTTCTTTTTCTGTTTTTACTTGACTGGCTAATTTTTTTCTGTTTTTAGTAGAGACGGGGTCTCACTCTTGCTCAGGCTGGTCTTGAACTCCTGACCTCAAGCAATCCTCCTGTCTCGGCCTCCCAGAGTGCTAGGGATTACAGGCATGAGCCACCGTGCCCAGCCTGCATCGCTGGTTCTTAACATAACTGTCTATTGGCAAAGCATCATGTGTACTTGGCTGACTAGGTTTGTTCAAGAAATTAGTCTGCGTTAGCAGTGAGTTTCAAATTGTGGTCCCTGGAGCAGCGGCATATGCAGACTCATCCCCCACCCCAGACTTGATGAGTCAGAAACTCTGGAGGTGGGGCCCAGCAATGTGTTTTTACAGGCTCTTCAGCACTGACCTAGAGCCTGCTGTGGTAAACATTGCCATAGGATCTAGCTATAGCTTGTTGTTAGACTCAAGAATGATCCCTACACTCTCTGGGAAATAGTATCAGAGAGGTGAGAGCTAGTTTTTCTCACAAAGCAGGTATCAAAAGCACCCCCTTAGTGGCTTTCTTAATTGCCTGTTTTCTGTTGCTTTGATTTCTGTACCAAGGAGGAAAGCTGCCAGTATACTTTTCTGGAGCATTATAGTTAAATTGGCATCTTTGATAAATATAGTGATATAGATTTTAGTGATAGCTAATATTTATTGAGGATTTTAAATATGTGCCAGTGCTGTTCCAAGCAATCACATCTATTAACTCAATTAATCTTCACAACAGCCCAGTTGTGTAAGTACAGATAACAGAGGCACCTAAGGCTGCACTGGTAAATGTTGAAGCTGAGATTCAGACCCTAATGGTCTTGATTCAGAGCCTGAGCAGTCATACAATATGCTATACTTGCGGCCTTTACATCTTTAACATTATTTTTACTTAATGTGTTTGTGTGTATGTGTGTGCAGATAATACATGATCAACTTTGGGCGTAATTTGATTGCATTTCTGATTATTAGGGTTAATTTCCAGAAATGGAATTACTAGATTGAGGGGCATAAGCATTTTTAAGTGATTCTTCATCACTGCACCGTTCTCATCTTTTCTCATTAGTAACTTTCTAAAAATATCCAGTTCCCATTGCAGCTCATGCTTCAGAGTTTTCAGTATCATGAGGCCCCGTCTATGGCAGTGGGCCTTCCTGAGTATTTTTCCATCCTCATAGATGTGTTTATTTTTTAGGACCGAGGAAATAATAATGTAATGAGCAATTATGAGGCCTACAAACCCTCCACGGGAGCTATGGGAGATCGGCTGACAGCAATGAAAGCAGCTTTCCAGGTCTGAATTAAGCAATTCATTAAAAGAGCTCTTAACAGTAACTCTTGGGCAATGACAAAGGGGGTCTAGTTCTCCTGAGGTGGTGGCTGGGCTTATAGACTTGATGCTAGATTTGGGGCATTCTCACTGCTTGGATTTTGGATATAATGTTAACAGTAGCTTCCTTGGAGATGCAGGTGGGTTACCAGAGAACCCCTCATGCTACTCATCTGCTTTAGTCACTACCAGAGTCTAGGACTGCAGTTCCGCGGTAGGATTTGTGTTCTCTCCCTTCTTGGCAGCTGGTGGTGCTGCCCACTGCCAAAGCTTTGTTCTCTGGCTGAGAGTATTTGCCATCTTTTTCTAAGACAAGTTTGGTTCTGTCATCTCTTATGAACTCTGAACCTTTTTCCTTCCACGTCTGCCTTTCCAGTTAGCTGGCTGGCATCCGATTAACGAGCTAGGTCTTAATTTACATATTTTGTCTGTCTTCAGACTGTTCCAGTTTGGTTCTAAAATTTTTTCTGGTTTTCACTAATAGAATATAAAAATCCTTGTTCAGGAAATCAGGGCTTATTTTTCAGATTTGAGGAAAGATAATGTGATACATATTCCGTATATTAACACCACAAAAAAGGTCTGCAGCCACACCTTATATAATCAAACTTCTGGAGCAAAATATATTAGTAGTGATGCTAAGCTGAATAGATAGATAGAAACTAAATAGCCTTTACATCAGCTCAAGTTAGGTTTTGCCATCAAACTTTAAAAACTTTTTTTTTAGTTTTCATAACTTTTAGTTTCGAATTGTAAATAACAGTTTGTAAACCATAACTGTGTTCAATTGCTATATACATTGATGTTTTACTCTAGCCAGTCAGGCTATAAAAGTAAATTTCAGTACATTGAGGTCCCTCTCTCTACAGAGATGCAGGAGTTTTCCTTTACAGCACAAGAATAGAACAAAAGGGGTGGACCTGTGGAGGCACCAGGGCACTAACGCCACAGTGCCAAGATAGCATAGTTAGAATTTCTGTAAACTTTATCATTTGCCAAGCTTAGTTTACTCAAGTTTCTTGAACTTACTATCTTATTTACTCCTGGTGTCTCTTTCTCTTTCAGTCACAGTATAAGAGTCACTTTGTTGCAGCCAGTTTAAGCAATCAGAAGGCTGGAAGCTCTGCCGCTGGGGCAAGTGGATGGACTAGTGCAGGGAGCTTGAATTCTGTTCCAACTAATTCAGCACAACAGGGCCATAACAGTCCTGACAGCCCCATCGCCAGTGCCACGAAGGCCATCCCAGGCTTTGGCAATACTGGGAACATCAGCAGTGCTCCAGTGACCTACCCTTCTGCCGCAGCCCAGGGAGTCAACAACTCAGCTTCAGGGAATGACAGTCGAGAAGGGATTGGGGGTGGCAACGGGAAAAGAGAGAGATATACTGAGAACCGGGGTGGCAGCCGTCATAGTCACGGAGAGAGTGGCAATCGGCATGGTGACAGCCCACGTCATGGAGATGGTGGTCGCCATGGAGATGGATACCGCTACCCAGAAGGCAGCAGCCGTCATCCCGATGGCCAACGGCATGGGGAAAACAGGCATGGAGGAAATGCAGGCCGGCATGGGGAGAGCCGGGGTGCAAATGATGGCCGAAATGGTGAAAGCAGGAAAGAAGGTTGTAATCGTGAGAGTAAGATGGACCCCAAGGTGGAAAGCAGCAAGATGGACAAGGTAGACAGCAAGACAGATAAGACAGCTGATGGCTTTGCTGTCCCGGAGCCACCCAAGCGCAAGAAGAGTCGATGGGACAGTTAGAGGGTATGTGCTAAATCGCAAAATCAGTTGTCTTTAATTTTATTTTTAGAAAGATTTTGGTAACTAGGTGTCTCAGGGCTGGGTTGGGGTCCAAGGTATAAGGACCCCCTGCCCTTAGTGGAGAGTTGGAGCTTGGAGATATTAGCCCTTCTTCTTGGAAGCTGCTTTGGTCCCTGGAAGCAGTGAGAGCTGGGAAGCTTTTGACTCTAGGTGAGTTGTCATGAGGGTAAGTTGATACTTTGGGAGAAAGGGCCTCATAGGGCACAAAACTCACTCTAGGTTTATATTATATGTAGCTTATATTTTTTACTAAGATGTCACCTTATAAACATCTATAAGTTGAATTCCTTTTCTTAGCTGCGTGGCCAGGCAGTCCCCTTTTTAGGAGTTGGCTTCTGCAAACCCCACTGAACTGTCAGGAAGCAATTTGGTGGTTCTAGACATTTGTCAGGGAAGGGAGCCGTCTGATTCTAAATGAGAGCCGATGCTCAGGTTCCCCAGCCAGGTTTGTATCCTGCCCTGAGACATGTAGAGGAAGCAACAGCCTTCCAGACCCCGGCTTTGAAGATTTCCAAAGCCACTGTGATTGAAGGGAAAAGATTATCCATATGATTCTAGGGTTGCTCCTGGTCTGAGGTGTTGTTAAATTTAAAATTTAAAATTTAAAAAAAAAAAAAAACCCTCAACAGCTTTTTTTTAAATGTCTTCTATTTCATTGTATTTTTTTTTTTAACTTGCCCCAATGGTAGAAAAGTCTTTTGCTGAAATGATTTTGATGATTTTTGTTCTATCTTGTTTATAAAAGGAAAAGAAATATACAAACTTTGAATTTTGTGACTTTGTGAAGGTTTCTTTAAGATGTGCATTCCTTTCTGCTTGCTCTCTAGTAAATGTTTTACTACTGAGATCTGTGGATTGTCTGTCATTTCTACTTCACAAAGAATCAGTGCATATTATTAATAAATAATGAAACAGTGTAGCACATAGTATTAAACTGTCAGAAAAGACATCTCTCCCACCACCCTGGTTTTATTCAAGAATAGGAAGGGTTAAGGCTTGAGAGGCCCACATGCCCAGGAATGGACTACAATGAATGTCACCCCAACATTTAACCTCCCCTTATAGTTTAACACTTTTTATCCAGTACCCCCAACATTCTTCATGGAAGGATCATGGGGTCTGTAAGGACAGTTCGGCAGTGTTTTTGTGGGAGACTGTCCTTCACGCAGGAGGACATCGTCCTCTCTGCTCAGGACCACAGTGGGAGTGCTGTACCCCACCTCACTGTCAGCTGCAATGCAAGTGAGGGCAGGGCTGGTACTGAGGCCAGAGTGGGCCATGCCACCGTCTTCCCCCCTAGTCCTGACACTCTTCTCAGAGGCCCAGTAGCTCTGCTCACTTCCGCTTGTGTTTTTTCTTTTGCTCCTTACGCTGCTGTGCTCTTTGGTCCTTCTTCATCCTTGAGTCCACCACCTTAAAATGGCCTCTGACTCCAGCTGGCCGGCGCACTTTGCGGCCCACACCTTTTTTGGCTACGACATAGGTGACTTGGCGCTTCTCCTTGCCAAGCCCAGCCTTCTTGTAGAGACTACAGAGGGAAGGGAACAGGTTAGGACTTTCTTTCTGCTGCTTTAACCTTGTCCCCTTGTGGCGTCTTCCCCCATTACCTTCGCAGCTGTGCCACTTTCTCGCGTTCTGAGATGTCCACTGTGTTCACCACGGCTTCTGCCTTCTTCCTAGTCTGTTCCAGCTTTTTCAGCATCTGAGAGGGGACCTCAGTCAACTGACCTCTTCCCCATCCCTGCCTCCCCCATCTCAGGGAGCTACTTTCCCTACCACTTACCCTCCTTTTCTTTCTGGCCTTGGCCTCGGCCACTTTCTTGATGGGACGAGCGTTGATTTCCCTCCACCGCTTCCGGTAATGCTCTACCTCTTTCTTGTCAATAGGCAACTGCCGTATCCGGTGCTGCTTTTCCTCCTGCACAAACCACTCTGGAAGATCTCCCTCTTCCTCATTAAATGTATACCTGGGCGGAAAGGACACCAGCCCAGTAACCAACCACTCCAGGCTTCCTAAAGAAGAAATCACCCACTTACCCACCACAGACATCCTGGGCTACTTCTCATGATTTTCGGGACTCCCTACCTGTTGAAGGAGTTATCTATGAGGTCTCTCTTGGCCTTTTTGGAAGAGGCAATAACAGCACCTAGAGCAAGGCCTTCAGCATCCAGTATCCGATGTTTCACTAGAGAGGGAAGGAGAAAAGTCAAAGCTTGATTCCCAATACTGACACTTCTGCTGGTCTCCTGTCCTTCCACTGCATGCAGAGCTCTCACCTGGGTCCTCAATAGGCACTATCTCAAACCCATCGTCATCTGACTTAGGCCCACGTCTGCGCTTCTTACCACGGGGTGCTTCCCAGCTGTGAAGAGGGAGAACTGTGAGTGAATATCCACTGCTCCCCCACCTCACCTCAACCCTGCTTCCTATTTACAGCCACTTAGGGAACTTGCAAAAATTCTGCCACCCTGGCCACACCCCAGGCTGGTTCAATCAGAATCATCAGTACAGTATTTTTAAAGCTCCCTGTCTGCAGCCAAGGTAGAGAAATGTTTCAAGCCACTGTTTCCTCTTTATCTCTTCTCCCAGCAGCTGCAACCACTCACCTCTCTTCATCCTCACTGCTACTGTCACTGTCTGAGCTGCCATCTCTTTCTTCCCCTTCAGAGCCAGGGGCAGCTTCTGTCCCTGAAGAAGCCTCTGGCCCCTTAGGGGCCTCATCCTGGCTCCGGGGAGACTTTTTCTCAGTCTTCAAACTGGAAGGCGGTGGCGGTTGCGGAGGCAGCTGCTGCTGCTGTCCCTTCCGACGGCTCTCATACAACAGCTGGGCCTGACTGATCTCCAGGGCCTCATCAGCATCATCCTCGATCCCACTGAAGCCATCCTGGAGGCGGGGGGGTGTCTTCAGCCACCCTCCATCCAGGGGATGGCAGTTTCCTGTCAGTCTTGCCCCCAGCCTCTTACCTTTGAGAACCACAGGGTGGCCTGTTCTTCCTGCAGCACTGCCTTTTCCTCCAGTGGTACCAGCAATGGATTTTCTTCTTCCTCTTCCTCTTTATCTTCCACTTCAGCATATCGCACTCTGTAGACCCAAAGGAAAGCAGGGAGAGTCCTCGCTCCCCTAATCCCTCTCTGGCAGTTCCCGCACTGACTCTGCTGAAAAGGGGGCAGCACTCCCTCTCATGTGCACACCCACCCGCCCCTTACCGCTTCTGGTCCTTTGGATCCTGATGTCCCCCAACTCCTGCCAGCTCCTCTGGATCCAGGTCGCTATCCAGAGATGCATCATCATCGTCCTCCTCAACATCTGATACATAGATGTCATCTCTTGGCAGGTCGGACAGAAGTGTGTCTGCAGCACTCATATCCCCTTTTGTTACTTCCTCTAACAACTGAAGTTTAACAGAAACAGAGATCCAGTATTTAAAAGGAACATCCTGCTTTTTATCCGTGTGTCTGTTATCTAACCTCAGCAATGCTAGGAAGTACATGTGGCAAATACATCATCTCCTTTTACAGACAGGGAAGCTTAGACCCAGGTAAGTGGCCCATTCTAGGCTAGGTTACTGATTTAGCCCACTCTGCTGTGTTGCCTTTGATGGTGGTAGCACAAACAGGTTTTATGGAAAAGTAGCCCACAGCCCATACAGCATCAGATCTTAAAATGTTAAACATTGGTTTTCCTTTAAAATTTATTCTCAGAAGGCACCTCAGTCACCTTTTGAGAATAATACCATCTACACATTTTGTTTCCACTGAATAAAGGAGCCCAGGCAACATACAAATCTAACAGAACTGTTTCACTTAAACCAATTGTCAGAACCTCATCATCTATTTTCCTCAGGCAAAGACAGCTACTATTTCTCGAGTGTTTATCACATGAGGGATTACACCCAACCATCTTTTTTTTAATCCTCACAAAAATGCTATGAGGTAGGTTCTATTACTGTTTTACAGAGGAGAGAACAGGCAAAGAAGATAAGCAGTCACCTCAGGGTCCATGCAGCTCCCAAGCAGTGGAACTGGGACTGGAGCCTGAGTCTATGTCTGCTCTAGGGCCACTAGTTCTGTTTTCTTGTTTAAGAGACAGTGTTTAAGTGCCAGGCTGGAGTGCAGTGGCACAATCATAGCTCACTGCAGCCTCGAACTCCTGGGCTCAAGCGATCCTCCCATCTCGGCCTCCCGAGTAGCTGGGACTGCAGGTGTGCACCACCATGCCCAACAAATTTTTATTTTTTTGTAGGGGTGGGATCTCACTATGTTGCCCAGGGTGGTCTTAAACTCTTAGCCTCAAGCTATTCTCCTACCTCGGCCTCCCGAAGTACTGGGATTAAAGGTATGAGCCTCTGCACCTGACTGAGGGCCGCTATGTTCTAATGCTTCCCTTGTACAGCAAAGATAACGTGGTTATGACATCCCCACACGAGCCATGAAAGCTCATTTTGCTTGTGACACTGCTTTTATCAGGAAAAGCATGTTCTCTAGTATTCGGCAGGAGTGAGTAACCTAATGTGAAGCGCTAACTTGGTCTCAGTGAACTGAAGAATGTTGCTCCCTCTGAGGGAGACCCTCTATTCACTGTGCTTGTAACCCAAGTATCCTGGCTGCATCTACTGTAACCTAAACTCTTGGTCCTGATGCTCTAGTCCTGCAAGGATAAAGCTATCACGCTTGTATATCTTCCTAATTTCATCATTTTAGGTATATGTTTCTTTTTGGCTTTTGAGTCACGAGGCTCTTATTTTTTCCCCAGTCTCCCCCTTGCCAAGTCATGTCTTGGGTGAAGACAGCACGCGCAGCCCATCAGTGTTCAGCACACTTTAAAAGACATCCAACACCCCTACCTCCAAACACCCAAGCAAATCCTCCTGTCTCCTCAATCCGCACCCCAGCCCTGCCTCACCTGGTGACCCCGGATGGTGCGCAGGGAAAACATGCCAGTCTCCCCCTCATCTGCGATGGAAACCCCTGGCAGATCCATCTTCAGCTCCACACGCTCCCGCTGCTTTCTCTGCTCACGCAGCAGCTTCTTTTTCTTCCTGAGGGGATGGATTGAGGGAATAAAGCTGCCCAGCTCAAACTCCCTAGCCACGCCTTTCATTCTCTTCTCCCATCTTCGCATGCTGAGGAACTCTGTGCAGGGTTCCCCAAGCTCCTCCCAGATCCCCTCACCTCTTTAATTCTGCCACCTCCTTGGCCTTCATCTCTGCCAGGGTCTGGTTCAGTTGTTCCTCCTCCTCCTCCTCAGAGGGTTGCCTTGTGGTCCCAGCTGTTGACTCTTCCTCGTCACCTTCTTCTTCCTCTCCTGAGCTGAGGCTGACAAAACAGTCCAAAGGAGTTCGGTTATTTTCCCAGATACTTCCCCTGATACCCAGTCGACACCTGCCCTAGTTTCATTCCCTCCTCACCTGATGTCCAGTGCTTTTGCTTGCTCTTTCAGCTTCTTGGCCAAATGTCGCCGAAGCTTTGTTCTCCAGTTCAGTAGGGACCTGCCCCGGAAATACTATTACTGATCTTACCATTTCCCTCTTTGTCCCTGCCCCCTTCTCTGCTTTAGGTGGACCCCACAAATCTTAAGCTTCAGCCACATAAATCCTAAGGTTCAGGGCCCCACCCCAAACCTCTAGCACAGCAGCATCCTGTTTCCAGAGATCCAACATCATGGCCTCCAATGGCCTTGCCCTGCCTTCAGGGCTTCTTGGTCCCTACACTCTCCACACCACATACCTGAGCTCCTTTCGCCCCAGCACTTTGATGTCCTGACAGCACGCTCGTATGTCCTCAGTGGTAGCTGGATGCTGGGCCAACTCTTCATCATCTAGCAAGATCTATTTGGGAGCA